TCTCGAAACCCTCAGACGAGAAAAGTTATATGCAAAATTCTCCAAATGCGAATTCTGGCTCCAACGAGTAGCCTTTCTTGGCCATGTCATTACTCAGGCAGGTATCGAGGCAGATCCTTCCAAGGTCTCAGCTGTTCAGAACTGGTCGACACCGAAGAGTCCGTCCGAGGTTCGCAGTTTTCTCGGTTTAGCTGGCTATTACCGCAGATTTATTGAGGGCTTTTCCAAGATTGCCCTCCCTTTATCCCAGCTGACGAGGAAGTTTGTGAAGTTCGAGTGGACTGATCGTTGTGAGTCGAGCTTTCAGGAGCTCAAAAAGAGGTTAACTTCAGCACCGGTGTTGACTATTCCCGATCATTCCCGGAATTTCACCATTTTCAGTGATGCTTCGAGACAGGGTTTGGGATGTGTACTCATGCAAGATGGCCAGGTCGTTGCTTATGCTTCACGCCAGCTCAAACCACATGAACAGAACTATCCAACGCACGACCTGGAGCTAGCCGCAGTTGTTCATGCTCTCAAGATTTGGCGACATTATCTGTATGGCGGTCGATGCGAGATTTTCACAGATCATAAGAGTTTGCAGTACATTTTCACTCAGAAGGAGCTCAACATGAGACAGCGCCATTGGTTAGAGCTCGTTAAAGATTACGATTGCTCGATTCAGTATCATTCGGGAAAGGCGAACGTCGTTGCCGACGCTCTAAGCCGAAAGGTGAGGGGTGACTTGACGTACGTCGTTACTCAGCAGAGTCATTTGATTTGGGAGTTTGCCCGAATGCAGATCAGGTAGTTGATGCACTTCCCACAGCCATTTCGGGGAGTGTCAGCGCCATGCAGATTCAGCCGACGCTGAGAAAGAGAATCCGGCAGGAACAGGCTTCTGACAAGTTCGTTCGTGTCATGGATGCCAAAGTCCGCGCCGGAGGCGTCGAGGGTTTTCAGCGAGGTACCGATGGTGCCTTAGAGTTCCGTGGCAGGATTGTAGTGCCGAAAGTCGAGGTGTTGCGGAAGGAGATATTGACAGAGGCTCATACCGCACCCTATCTAGCCCATCCCGGAAGCACAAAAATGTATCATGACCTGAAAGGGTCGTTCTGGTGGCGAGGGATGAAGAAGGACGTTGCCGACTTTGTCAGGAGATGTTTTACCTGTCAGCAAGACAAAGTCGAACATAAGAGTCCGATAGGCCTCCTGCAACCACTACCGATTCTGAAGTGGAAGTGGGAGGAAGCCACGATGGATTTCGTCACAGGGTTACCGAGGTCATCTGAACATCACGATGCTATTTGGGTTGTGGCCGACAGATTGACTAAAGTCGCTCATTTCTTACCAGTTTCGATGAGGATGTCTTCGGATAAGTTGGCTGAGATCTATACCCGTGGGATCATTCGACTCCACGGAGTGCCTGTTACTATCGTGTCAGATAGAGATCCCAGATTTGTCAGTAGATTCTGGCAGAGTTTACACGAGGTGATGGGCACGAAGCTAGAGTTCAGTTCAGCCTACCATCCGGAGACTGATGGTCAATCCGAGCGGACCATTCAGACATTAGAGGATATGTTGCGAGCTTTGGTTGTTGACAGAGGTGCTAGGTGGGAGTCGTTGTTGCCTTACGTTGAGTTCGCGTACAACAACAACTATCATTCTTCTATTCAGATGTCTCCTTACGAGGCACTTTATGCTCGCCGACGTCGTCCCAATAAAGAGGGGAACGACACTTACGACCGTAAAGTACCTTGTAAGGAGCCATCTGAATAGAAGAATGATAGCTGTTGTTGTACGCGAACTCAACGTAAGGCAAGAATGACTCCCACCTAGCACCACTGTCAACAACCAAAGCTCGCAACATATCCTCTAATGTCTGAATGGTCCGCTCGGATTGACCATCAGTCTCCAGATGGTAGGCTGAAATGAACTCTAGCTTCGTGCCCATTGCCTCGTGTAAACTCTGCCAGAATCTACTGACAA